ACTATTCAGCACCCGGTCTTTCCCAGCAGACTAGCGATTACCTTTGAACGTATTCCACCGTAAACCAACTAACACGTTTTCTCTGCCGTTTGGCGTGCGTCGACATGCACTTTGTATCGACATGCCGTTTGTATTGCCTCGAAACGTTTACATGTTGCATGCCACCAAGTTCAAGCCAGTGCGTTTATCTTACAGTACATAAACTGAAACTCCACCCTGAATGTTTATCACAGGGAGGTATAGATTTAGGTAGTGCCGTAAGTAGATCTGTCAGGCTGCGATCTTTTGTGGTAACGGTTATAGCAGAGCAGCAATCGACCATCTGAAATTCAATTCTGCATTAACACTATGACAGGAAAACTGGAATGTGACTTACATTCCAGTCCTGATTTTGTCGTAGAACCCAAGTGGACTAGCTGGTTTAAACAGGAGCTCTAAAAATATGTGCTGATGCAGTTATGGTGCGAATAACGAAATCTGGAATAGTATAGGCTGCAGCTGTGTAGGAGAAAAGGCAGTCATAGGGAGAGGTTTAGTTTGGGCTTGGCCTCTCTAGTAGTGATTTTGGCAGAGACTGGAACGACATGTACATTCTGCCTCCCTTAGATTTTGTCCGGAAATATGCTGGTTTTCATTTAGTTTGCCTATTCTTATATTGTTTGGAGGAGCTTACAGTTTCCACGTATTTCGAGGCCTTCGTTTTGCCTACTCTTCTTGCGCACCCCTCACTATCTCCTTCTTCCGACGTAAACACATCTAGAAATGGTAGAGGAGCGCTCATCAATCGTTATTACGGAACTCACTCGTCCCGTTGTGCCTTACGGCTCTCTCTCTCTCTAGCCCAACCAGCACCCGTACACCAGCGCATGATATAGGCCGAATGTCATTACCGATAAAGACAAGGGAGACTGGAATAGCCATTTCTGGCTTATTAGCCATCGTCAGCCAGTCATACCCAACCCCGAACTGTGGAACACCCGAGGCTCGAACTCGCGACCTGTTAGTTGGAAGTCCACGTCTCTAACCACTGGGCCACGAGCCTGTTGCTATGTCGGTTTCGATCGGAAATATACAATGGTAAGGGGCTGTCATCGATCGTTCTTACGGAACTCACTCGTTCCTTTATGCCTTATGGGCTCTCTCTCGAGTCCAACCAGCAGCCGCACAGCGGCGCATGATATAGGCAGAATAGCCTTGCTGACTAAAGGCAAGGGAGACTGGAATGGCCATTTCTGGCTTATTAGCCGTCATCAGCCAGCCATACCCAATCCCGAGATATGGAACATCTGGGGCTCGATCCCGCGGCCTGTTGGTCAGGAGGGAGAGAGGAGACCAAATATACAACGGGACGATTGAGTCCCCTAAAACAATCAGTGAACGTCCCTTAACCATTGTACAGTCCCGACCGAAACCGACAGGACAACGAGCCTGTGGCTCAGTAGTTAGAGGCATTGGGTTTCTAACTATCATGTCTCTCACACCTCGGGATTGGGTATAGCTGGCTGACGACGGCTAATAAGCCAGAAATGGCCATTCCAGTCTCCCTTGTCTTTACCGGCAATGCCATTCTGTCTATATTATGCTTTATGAATAGGTCAATAGTTTGGACTATGGGGACGAATCGGACCTTACCGTGACGTCTGAGTGCCCATATCTCTTATTTTTGAGGAACGCATTCTCAGTACTATAGGTTGCATTCCGATGCGCAGTATGACTGTTCAACCCTCTACTGAAGAAAAGTTGTTGGCACAAGTGGGCAATTCATGTCAAACCACAGAGGAGCTCTCAGGCGGTATTTTACCGGAATCGTCGTGGATGAAGGACAGCGAGGCGTCCACGCGGGTCTTAGATCGCTAAAATCCAAGTCCTTAATTAACTGCATGAATTGAAGCTTCGGGCTGCGCAGTAGTGAAGACCGCCGTATGCTATTCCGTTTCATAACAAACAGGCTACGATCTTGCCGCTAACGAGACCGACCCTCTCGACCCCACAGCCGGTTAGAACGCTATCGCAGCCCCGCCAACCGCCGTCATCATCCTCACACTCACGGCCCCACCACCAGCACTGCGGACTTTCTCCGGCCTGTCAGCATTGCGATTGCACCTCCACATGACGAATCGTTTCGACCAGTTGCTTGCGTGCCTATCGTACTGGATCTGGCGAACTAGTATGAGGAGCATCGGCATACATCTGCCACAGCCGCCTCAAACGTCCAAACTGTCCACGCACACTAACTCGACGCATGAGCCCAAACCCCATCATTACACATTTCTTCACCAGTCAATGCAGCACACACGAACCTGCCCCGCATCATCCGCCACTGCTACGAAATAAGCGCCTCTCACGTAAGTTAAGGCGTCTTCGTGGCTCCTACACCAAGTGCCCCTTCGGTCGCGTACCCACTTGTGTGGAAACGCAAAGTGGTGTACGGGGGCTCAGGCCGAGTTTGGCACGCGTAGGCGGGCTCTTTATTTCAGTCATTTATTTGAGCTTAATCTCCGCATCAGCTGACTGACCCGTTCGGAGAGAGAGCCGGCGCCTGGGAGAGGGAAGAGCGAGGTCAACTTCTGGGATTCCGTCCCCACGACCCACAGCGCATGAGCAATCTGACGCGCTTTCAAACTACCAAAATTTGCCGAAGGCCGTGGCTTAGAAGACTGCCAACTGACAAGATAACTTGGCTCTCCTTTTCGGAAGGCTGCCATAACTCCTACTTAATATGGCCACTCTCTCACCTCCAGACAGTTGGAACCTGAAGCAGAACTTTCATTAGAAGATCGGAAAGTCACCCGATCCAGGTCTTTATTGCGGTGCAGGAGATGTGTTCAGGAGGTTGGCATTTTTCAAGACTCAAAAAGAAACAACTCTCAGTGAATTTCAACAAGTTCATAACCGCTGAATCGCCAGGATCTCGTCGACATGGCGGACCATCCAGATGGGTTGCCGAACTTTCGCAGTCTCAATTTATTGCTGTCATAATGAAAGCACGAGCACTACAGAGGGCCTCACGATATGACCTTGCCATGAATTACTACGGCCCAGAGTAATTTCAAGATGAGAGACACAAAACAACAAGTGCCAGATGAGGTGTTACCCAAGACATCTGAGTGAAATCGAGTGAACACGGAGACAATGAATCACAAAACTGTGAAAAACAATTTTAATAATTATTTGTCAATGTCCAAATTGCAAACACAGACATGGTGGCGGAAAAATTGAGAAATAGGGTCCATAGATTTTACTTTGGGGGAGCGTCACCACCACCGAAACTTGCCGTCCATCCGTTGAGGGGCCAAGAGATGAACTTTTCCGAGTTCATGTATTGTTTAATTTTAGGCAACGCCTGGAATGTAAAAGACAGTGCGCAATAAGTCATAGAACACGAAAAAAGTGCAAGATAAAAAGACACGTACCTCAAAGCGTTCGATATACTCTCTGAGATTAGGATATTTGTCGAAACACGACGGCTCAAAAACGTGGAATACGCAGAGGTTTTCGTAGAGAACAAAGTCGGCGTAAGTGATCTGCGGAAGAAACGTAGTTGCCAGAAATGACGACACAAAACGATAAGAAAACAGATATCAAGCACGATAAACACGAGATGTAAACTACAAAAGACTTACGTTGTCACCAATTAGCCATTTCTTACTGCCGAGGTAAGTGGAAATATCCTCAATGCCTTTTTCAAATTTAGGCATAAAACCAGGTCGTTCTTCCTCCTAAAACACCTTCATGAAATATGCTAAGGAAACCTACGTAGTTTGGACTGTAAGCAATTCGGGAAAAGGCAATTCGCAAATCCTTGATCGCGGCCTCAGCCATGGCGATTTCAGCCTGTTCCTTCGCGCCTTTGCCTCCAAGGCCATGCTTCTCTCCCAGATAACGCAGAATTACGCTTGACTGAGAGAGTTTCACATCGCCGTCAATAATATATGGAAGCTGAAGCGGTATGCTTATCAGCAAGTCTTCTTACATTCGGAAAGCCAATACCAAGAGTGTATTTCATTTCTTTCCATTTTTCAATATCAGTCTTCTCAAATCGCTTCTCTTGATAATCTTCCCCGACATACTCAAGCAGAAGGCGGATAGGCTGCGCCAACTGGGTTGGGGACACAAAAAAATAATTTAGAGTCAAGTTTGCAGACGCTGACGTGGGCAAAGTAAAGTTTGCTAATATATTAGTTGTAGTTAATACGAGAAGTATGAGGGCGGAGTTTGAGACAATTGCCTCCCACCTCTCAATTTTCATATAAACATCAGTCCAAAAGTGGTACACACAATATCACCCATTATAATATGAAATCCGAGCTTTATGACATATTCACTATTATTTGTCTTCCTCTGCACCGGTTTCCATTCCAATAACACCGAAAATTGTTGGCGTTGCATGTTTATATAAAACATTAACTGAGAACTAGTTCTGACTCTAAGGACGGTCGCAGAAAGAGTGATTTAGATTAGCTCCAGTGCCGGTTATTGCATAATTTTCACATCCAGGGCTACTGGAAGAGACCTTAAATCATTTATTGGACATGTTTTAAAAGTAGATACTGCAGTATCGACTGTAAAATTGTTTTTAATTTTACCCTTTTACTTAATTGCGTATATGTGTGTTGTAGCTAGGACCGTAGGAAGCACACGAGATGGAGAGGACGAACTAATATGGATGCAAGAGTCAGAACGAGAATACCCTATAACAGGGCTTTATTCAACTTATAATTGACGTATTTGAACTAAAACGAGAACTAGAAAAGTAGTAGATTAGATGGAATTTAGCCAGGGCCCTATGTTAGCATGACATTCACCCCGGCCAACAAATGGAGGAATCGAGATGCCAATAAACAATAGGAAACGTTAGCATAAGGCAAAGTTAAGGCGTCTCTGTTACGAAGACTGTATGAGTGAACATGTTGTTATTGTCGGATTGATGTTTCCAGGCTATGCATACCAACATCGTCGGCGTTAAGTACACTAACGGGTGTTGCATCATTTTGTTCGTCAGTTGAAACGGTGCTAATTTCTTGCTTGGCAATGGGTGGATGGTCAGGAAAAAGTGGGAAAAAATCTTCGGGTACCGGCGTGGCCATCTCCTGGTGGCAATCACTAACATCCTTTTCACCGCTGGGTGCGAGCAGTCGAACATATACCGTTTCTTCTCTGCCATTATTGAATCATATATGATCATACTGGGGGTTACATTGGAGTAGTTTTACCTCCTAGACAAGCGGATCACACTTAGACAGTTGATTGCTCTTCTTCAGCAGAACTCTTCAAGGAGAGGTAAGTCACATAGGGAGAGTAGTCCCAGTAGTTGACCTCCTGTTGTAGACATTCTCTGATAAGGTGTCGCATTAGTGGCGGTACACAAGTGATTTAATTGAGTGTAAAACGTCAAGTAAGACGGATTCCCAGTGCGTGATGGGCACATTTTGCGATTTAAGAGCAAGCAAGATAGCCTCCTATAAAGTATGGTTCAGAAATTCGACCTGCCCATTTCCATGGATATTATATAGAGTTGTTTCACTCGTCGCCACTCCCTCACTGCGAAGGAATTGCTGAACTTCATTTGACATAGATGACGATCTCCGGTCGGTGTGTAAGCACTACTAAGTACCAAAAATGGAGAAAAGCTGACAGAAACATTTAATGACAGTTTCGGCAGTCTGGTCAGGACTGGCAAACGTAAACGGGAAACGAGAATATTCATCAATAATTGTCAGCAGATAGCGGTTGTAAGTTGCCGACGGAAGAGGACCTTTGAGGTCGAGCGACAATCGTTCGAACGGCTGGGTGGTTTTGATGATTTGGCCTTGTGTTTTAAATAAACAGGGTTTGACTTCACAACAGGCCAGACATTTAGCGACGACATTTCGAATCTCTTCCATCGAAAAGGGGAGATTCCAAGCTCGAACAAATTGCGAAATCCAGGAGACACCGGGATGACAAGGTGACTTGTGTAGTTCGGCAATGGTTAGTAGGGCGCCACAGCAATTACGGGAAAGCGTGTCCGCCGCTCGATTTTCTTTATCAGGTCAGTAGACAACGTCAAATGTAAATAGTGACAGTTTCAATCTCCAGCGTTCGATCTTATCATTCTTGACCTTCCCTTTTCGCTGATTGCTGAAGATGAAGGCAACAGAAGTCTGATCCGTGATGAGTTTAAAGTGATTGCAGAGGCGGACGTGCTTCCATTTGCGTATGGATTCCACTACGGCGTATGCTTCTTTCTCTATAGCTGAATGATGTCGCTCAATTGGAGATAGGCTACGTGAAAATAACGCTACTGGTCGGCCATTCAGATTCAGTGTGGCAGCGATTTCGACGTCTGAAGCATCGGTCTCGACAACTAATAGGCTATCGTACTGAACGGTGACCACTATGCCTTTCGCAAGTTCCTCCATAAGAGCATCAAAAGTTTCTATTACCTTCAATGGTAATGGGAAATTTCTGTTATGGATGAGCAGGTGAATTGTATCCGTAAAGTGCGATACACACTGTGAGTAGTATGCAAACAGTCCGACAGCTCGTTGTTGTGACTAAAGATCTTGTGGCGGAGTCATTTCGCGCAGAGGGCTTAGACGATCCGGATCTGGCCTAATGTTTCCCATGGACATCTCGTAACCAAGAAGTTTGATAACTTTATTAGCGATAACATTTTTGACTTCATTGAATGTTAGTCCGTACTTTTTAACCACGCTAAGAAATTTTTGAAGGGTTGAATCATGTTGCGCAAGGCCGTCCCCATAAAGTGATATTTCCAACGTAGACGAAAATATTCTTTAGACGTTTGCGTGCAATTATGTCTTCGATGGTCCATCGGAAGCACGCAACTCCGTTGGTCGCACCAAACGGGATACAAAAATGATATAAACGTCCACAAGCTTCAAAGGCAGTGTCCGATCTTTCCTCTACCCAGATGGGTATCTGGTGATAGGCGCTCTTGAGATCAAGAATGATGACGATATATCGCCATCGTTGTCGTCTATAGAAACAATTCATCCCTGGGCCGGTCGACTTATCGACACAGCCCTAAAATGGGATCTCTTTACATATTACGTTATTTTTCCCTTTTCGTGCAAACAATACTTTTTGTAGAGCTTTTTGGCCATTTGTGTTTTGCCTTATTGACGATCCTTACTACTAACTCGTTTTAAATAAAATCTATTTTTTGAAAAAAAACGAGACTTCCATACCTCCTTTTTAAGGAAAACTAAAGCAGGTTAGAGCGGGGAACAAATGGTAAGAGATCGGGTAAGGGTTGTTTATGAATAAAGGGGTTCTGTCCGGTTAAAAAACGAGTGTATATTTTACTGCGCAGATTATGCGTAGAGCATCTGCGAAGATTCTACGCAGAGTAAGTGTGACGACGTCCACGCAGATCCTGCGAAGAATAGTCTAACCAGTTGCGCATATCATAGACAGAATTGTCATTAGGGACATTCTACAGAACTATAGATATATTAAAATATATCCTATATATGTGTATTTACATATATTCGTTCTTCATTGCAACGATTTTTTTCTTATTGTCTGAGAGCTATTACCTTAAAGTCTACCACTGAGACAGGGTTTCCGAACGGAGTCGTGACAAGTGACAATACGACCATGTGATGAATAAAATTAACAGAACACAAAACGCACCCCGCGAATACTCCAGTATCCAAGTTGAATTGGAGCCATGACGTGCGAGGTCAACCCGAAATGTAGGTACTTATACTAGAAGTTGTCAATGTAGTCCAATAAAACAAACATTGAGATTAGAAACTGATGGTTAAATTTTAATGCCCCATTATGTCAGAATCGAATACAAAGCCAGATGGTCACTCAGAACTCACAATATAGTTGGTTATGATGGTGTGCACCATCATAACTAATATCTTGTGCTGGTAGAGAGGCGCCTCTCTACCAGCACCTGCATGAGCATAAAAATGCACAACATATTAACCAAGACAAATTAACTCAGGAGAAAGCATCTCTTTGAATGTAATCCATAATGTACCCTAAAACAGGGCGCATACCCATCACAGCATTAAACAAGGCAGGACTAATCTGGGACGCGGTCAATAGGACGAATCCAATGAAGCGCAAATAAGAATGCTGCAGCTTCAGGTGGACTGCAGCTTTGTGCACGCTTAAGTCGTGCCTGATGAGCAAACAGAAGGCTCTGGTAAGATAATGCGTATTAGGAACTCCGTGCCTCCTATGAGATTTCACATGTCATGAAAAGCGTGTCGAGATTACAAACGGAGTTAATTCTGTTTTGAGGAGGTTGAGTACCTGAGGAATATTGCAGCAGAATAATTTTGTTTCGATAAGAACTAATACCAACTGGTTGATGGGCATCGAGGGATATGTAGTCGAATGCTGAGGCCTGAATTACTCCTCCGAAACTGCGCAGCCAGCCGATGGACGACTGGTATCGTATGTTTGATCATATCCATAGATAAGGTGCATGATATAGCTAACGCAAACGCAGGGAAAACGGATTGACTTGACTGTTAATGACGTTGGTAATATAGTTAGTTCTATATGAGGGAGAAATCACTATGGAATGAGGAGGGTATGCTCACATAGCAAAAACCATACTCTTCAATTGCGGACATGTGAGCAGTTTTGAGGAGTCATAAGGGCAGCAGCATTCGAATGCATATCTCTCGATGACCGCCAGTCCTTTGGGTGAGAGTTCGGCCGCCCAGCCTGACCATATCCACAGTGTGCTTCACAACGGGGTGTGGGCGGGAAGGCGACTTGTGCGGGAATTAATTTGTAGTGAATTTGTAGGCCTGCGCAGCATCTTCCTCACTCTCTACTCCCCAACTCGGGCTTGGTGTCATGATAGAGAGAAGAAGACCATAAGAAGGAGAAAGCGCAGGTGGCCAGCACTGCGAAAGCCGCACCATAGCGCCTGCCACCACGCCGGCTTGGACCTCATTGAATGAGAGTGCCCTAGAAGCCATATCAAGAAGGAGTCATTGCAGCCTGACTCTCAGTCCACCAGTCGGCCAGTCAACACAAACACATACACCGGGCTGACTGCGAAGTCTGTGTTGAAGCGTCAACTAACAACCTTCCAAACCACGGCTTTTAGTCTGCCGTGATAGCCTTAAGTGCGTCAGACTGTTTGTAGCGGAGAAAACACGCTGAGTCTCCGACCTCACCCTCTATTCCCACACAGGCAGCTGTCTGGTGTCGGGAATAGCGCAGTGATCGATATATCTAGTGGCCTCGTCTGCGCGTGCCACATACATGACCTGCCACCCCCCCTAACACCATTACCAGGATTTCACTCGACAGGGGGTGGGGCACATGCATCTCACATGCCTGGGAATACCAGAGGTCACGTTAAAAAGCAGCCATTGCATCGTGGCTGTCAGTCCACCAACCAGCCTCTCAACACAAATACACAAATCTTGGCTGGCTGCGTGGACTGAGCATAGGGGTCAGCCAGCAGTCTTAAAAGTCCCGGAGCCTGGGGCGCCGTGATAGTCTCGAGCACGGGTTACATATGCGTGAGATCAGCCACATGGGAAAAGAGCCGAGAATCACGCTTCTCACTTACACCAGAGGTGCCAATGGAGTGCTTTCGTTGTGCGATGACGGTTGGCGTTAATGTATTTTGCAGGTGCTGATGAGTGGAAGTGGGATCGTATAGCATAGTTGACGGTGTTCGGCCACAGGTTTGCAAGAATGCACATGCGACCGAATAGATCCCTGCGGCGACTGAATGTGCGAGGGCGATGCAGGCAATTGAGGCGAGGGCGTCTGGTGCATGCTGGTGTCCAAGACGCTGTTTTCCCAGTTTCCGTGCGACGGATTCGTAAGCGATCGACCAGACCAATGTGTGAGGTCAGTGTGCGGTCACAATGAGGATAGATCTGAACAGAGTCGTGGACGCGGATGTCGTTCCACGGTGGAGGAATGCGAGAGACTGTAGTGTTGGGGGGGCCCGTCGATGTGATTGACGCCGGGGTTGCAGCAGGGGTTTGTGCTGGCGATCGCTGGCAGCGGAGCGTCGTCATTTTGGCTCCCTGTGACGGGGATGGGCGTGGTTGTGGCGTATGAGGCAGAAATGACGACGGGTGTGATCATGAAGGGAGAAGTTGACGATGACGGTTTGTTGTTGTATTGCTTCCGAAGGTGTCCTACGAGGCCCAGGC